AAAATCTGGCTCCCTTTGTAATTTATAAAAGGGTATGGAAACTACAAGACAAGCGCTAGTAGATATCTGAAGAATTACCCTGTTGGCATCATACATAATATAATCCTTCTCATTTCTGAGCCTGACACACAGCTGCTCTGCTAGAATGAATATCTGTCTATGAAGCACCCCAAGGAAAAGTACAAACACAGCAGGAAGGTAGTACCTCACCTCTTCAAATTTATGAGACAACACATACCAAAACATATTCCACAACTTCCATTTCCCAAAGCACTGTATCTAGATGAAGCACACCAAAAATGTGTGTGTGGAACAGAACTGTCCTCAGTGGATATGAGCCTTGGTCCTCAAAACAGACAAAGGTTTAGAGAATTAGTATGTAAATTCCATTAAAAGCAATCTCAGCACATGTCCTCTAAGGAATCACAGGCTACCTGAAAATCATGGAGTCCAGAATGAATGTTATTCTTTTCCTCTCTACTCCCTCCCATCCTTAATTTTTTAAGCCTCAGTACAGGTTTCAGCTGTTTCCAATTGTTTAGGCTTAAGCTGGGCTGTAGCTCAAAGCAAAGTTAAATATGAGCTAGATATTTTGTGTTAGTAGCTGTGTATCTGTCATGATCAAGATGCCAGTTTATTCTGATACATTAATTCATCTCAGGGCAAACTAATGATTTCCTGGTAAGCCATGCCTCTGCACCCCGCCCCCCCCCCGGCCCCTGCTTCTTGCAAATTCTCTCTGAGTAGATGCAAGATCCTTCATGGTGACATGAGAACCACCACACACCAAGTCATAGGTCCTTCCTCTGGCTAAGACAGTCCTGAACGAGTTCTGATGCCACCTCTCAAGGAGAGGTTTTGGGCGCCTGGCCCAGACACGGACAGTCTCTCTGAAGCAGCCAACAGAACTAGAAGGATCAGTGCTCAAACTGCTAGTTTTCAGTGAAAGGTAAAATATATCCTTTAATTTCTCCCTTTCCTTTGGGTTTATATAGACAAGTAATTACTATTTTACTTCATGGGTTAACCAGAGCTTGAGTTGTTCCCCTCAGCAGAAATGCTTGCTTGCAGACCTGCACCACTTTCAACGAAACTGTCAAACACATAAAAAAAAAAAGAACTCAGTGGCAGATTGAATACTTGCCTTGTTTAAGGCATCCAACAACATCCACAATATAATTGCTGCAAAATATTTAACACATCTATTAATTATTGTGGAATCCTGTTCACTCAGGTAATCCCCTCTTTAATTAGTTTCCTACATATATTTCATAATTCTATATAATACTATCCATGCAGACTCATAGGCTTCCCATAAATGCCATTCCTCTGCTTAAATGAAGCTCTTGCCCATCTTGTCTTATTTTTCACGCTAAGGAATTACTTCTCTCCTAAGTCACATATTCGTGGTTCAGGGCCAAGGATGCCAACCTTCAGAAGCTGGCTGTAAGAAAGGCCGTGTCATTGCTGAATGGGATAAGTCCTGAACTATTAGAGGTTGAAGATTCCTTTGTTAAAAGGAACAAAACCACGTTAAAGACACATCACTGATGCATAGCCAAGGCTTGCTGACCTCATAACAACATGCCTGTTCTCCCTAGCCCTCAATTACGGTGAAAAGCTCTGAATGAGTGAAAAGAAAAGCAGAAGATACCCCTTCCTAATACAGCACCATGACAGCATAGCCAGTTAAAAATCGCCCTACAGAGCAGCAGATTACGCCGAAGTGCAGATGTCCCAGGGAAGATAAGTGGGAGTGGGCAGTCCATGCAACATCCCCAAGTGTCCTGGGTGAGCCACCCGAGATGGGGGGGGGGGGGTGACCCCACAGCACCAATTCCCAAACTGCTGCTCCAAACAGGCTTCTCTTGTGGGGCGGCTTATTCACCTGCCAGGTCGCCCGATGGCACGTGGGGGCTTGAAATACTGAACACTGCACCTCTGAGGCATTTACATAACCAGGAGAGTCCTTCTGACACAGGACTTGTCTCCTCATGCTATCCAGCATAAAAGGCTAATAAATTAGTTACACCAATTCAGTATAAACCCACCTCAGAAAGCAGCAGGCTGCAACAGTACCAGATGGGAAGCATGCTGCAACTTTTTTTTTCTTTTTCCTTTTTTCTTCAATGTTACAAAATTAAAATGGTTCACTCCTGGTTCTGGTACCCAGTGCCAGAAACACTTGCCTCTGCTAATATTGCCTGCAAGATCCTACTGAACGATGACTGTCACATCTCCCACGTCCCATGAGTTGTACAGTGCTTATCAAAACCACAGGAGGCGGCACTGCCCAAAATTTGAAAACCTCAGCCCTGATATTTGCAAGTGAAACCAATCACAAATCTTTCACTACTAAGTGATTTTTCCTCCGGAAATTAAGACTCTGGCAATTATGTGAATTCTTGGCTAGTACATGAAATGGAAGGAGGCTAGTAATATTAAATATTCACCAATTAATTTTAATAGAACATTTAATACCTCTTTAAACAAAATGTTTTTCAAGGTAACTATAATTAAAACTGTAAAGTGAACCATTTCTCCTTCTTTGTACACCAACTGGTCTAATTATGCTTGATTTCTCAATGCAGTGTTACAGGGCTGAGACATCCCTCTCACCTCCTCAACTGGAGGAGGAGAGATGCAGAAGCATTTCCAGAAAGTATCTCTATCAAAACAAAGTCTTCACTAGACTGTGGGCTTTGATGGGCCTCAGAAGCAGTTACTATTTAAAAAGCTGTTTGTATCCAAGTGAACATCTAACACAGATAATTAATCCTCTTTTCTGTAAAGAGGTTGAAATATCTCAAAAATAAAAAACATTGTAATGATGAACCAAAAAAAAATTCAAGTAGTACAGGTTTGGAGAAAAACAGTGCTTGGTTGTGCACAAGAATACACTCCACTCCCGGAAATGTAAAAATACATTCACTGAGTTTCCGCTGTTAGAGCTCCTATACATACAAGGTGATCATACATTGCAAAAGCCAACACAAGCCTCACAAGTTTTGTTTCTTTCCCTCCCAACCCCATATCATATCCTTAAACTGAAGTTTCCCGAGATTCATTAGAATTAATGCAGATTTACAGTGACAAAAATTTCAATTACATAAGCATTTTTCTTTAACTAGGAAAGCCACAAATACTAAGGTCAGCAACAACACAGTGAATACCACCTTGTGCTAACATGACAACACAAACCAAACCCTAGAAGGGGCTTGCTTCATTTGGTTCATTCAAAGCACTTACAAACATAAGGATGTAATTTATATGCAAAAAAGGCAACAAGCGCTGGCCAAAAGTGTTCTCACCTCTACACAATTAAAAGAAAAGTTAGTGTGTTCTTGGGTGAAGAATCCATACAACTAAAGAGAATTGATTATTAAAAGACACTATAAACAAAACCAGAACCAATAAGGATGCGCTCCTATTTAATATCAAATAAAACAGGAAAGAGAAACAGTTTAAAATTTCATTTAACCTACTAATATTAAGCTTATAAAAACAAACGAGTCAACATCATTTTAAATTGTTTTTAATGAAAAACAATTACAGGTACTTGTCTGTATTTTAATGAAACTAGAGAAGTTCACTATTCTAGACCCAGGCTAAGGCACCAGCAGACTACCTGGCGAAGAAGTATGAGCAATAATCCTGCACGCCAACAACCACACCCTGAGAAACTCCGTTGTGAAACGACCGATAGCCACAGCTTCCACCGGGCTTCAGCTGCGTTTAGTCAAAGGTCATCACAAACCTCCCAACCCATACACGACCATTAAGTCAGTTCTCCAGACTTAATTCTGATTCCCCCTGAAGTAGAAAGCAGCCCAAGATGTTCATCCTGCTCAGTAAAATGCAGATTACTTGAAATTCCATGTGGGATTTGGAGCTGTTGGCCCAACACATGCAAAAAGGGAATGCCAATAATCACACCAACAATATTAAAAAAAAAAAAAAATCCATTAGTTTATATAAAATGAGAACGAAGGGACACAAAACTGATTTGGAGTTTATGCTCTCTTTTATAGCAGAACAAACGCCCTATTAAAAATCTACTATTTAGGCATTATTAGCCGACACGCTTGACCTGTTTTATACATATGTAGGCCCCAAAGAAAATAAACACTGTGTTAAGTGAGTTACTGGAGTGGAGGCCATGAAACTATAAATTCAGATAACATGAAAGTTTACACTTTCAGTGTTAAGTGCATACTTTCAGATGAAGTTTTCACTGAGAGCAGAGAGAAGTTTCTGAGTGGAAAAATAGAGAACTCTACTTGAAATGCAGTAAAGTTACATTGGCATTTTTAGCAGAGAGAAGATCTGCAGGCAGACACTCCAGTGTCTGTGCACAGATTTCTTTCTACAGAATCGGGCTAAAGACCTTCTGAGACTCTGACATCTGGAAATCAGAGGCAATCCTACCTATGAGACCTGTGCTATTTTTGCTAAAATTAAATCATAGAGGATGCGCTCTCTGAAGTCTTCTTAAACGTGAAAAAGAGTGAGAAATGGATCAAGTAACTCAATATTAACACAGGAACAGAGGAAACGAAAGTCACGAAGCCCCCAGACAGGAAGCGCCCAATGCAAATATCTCTGCGGGGCACGGGGGCCCAGGCGACCCCCGAGGGCCTGGGTCTTGTTACTTTTTTTTTTTTTTTTTTTCCAGTTTCACATCAATAAAAGCCTCCGCCGCCTCGCCTCCCCTCCCCGTCCCGCCCGTTTCTTCACGAGCTGACTGAAGTTTTTCCTCCCCGAACGGGCCCCGCCTGGCAGCGGCGCGGGCAGCCCCAGCGCGCCCGGCGCCCTCCCCGCCCCAAGGCGCGGCCGAGATCGCGGGCGGCCTCCGACCCGCCGATTCCCCCACCAAAGGCGGCGGAGCCCCCGCCCCGCCGGTGCCCCGGCCCCGCCGGTGCGGGCCGCCCCCGGGCCACGCCGCCCACCTGCCGACGGTCTGGTTGGCCAGCTGCTTCATCCGGTTGAACTGTTTCTTCATGGCGGCAGCCGTTCCCGGCCTCCCGCCGGGTTCCCGCTGCTCCTCCGCCTCCTCCTCACGGCGGCACCGACAGCCCGGCCCACACCGGAACCCGCCGCCACTTCCGGCCCCGCCCACACAGTCACGTGCCCGCGAAGAAACAACCAAGTTCCCTCCCCCCAACGCACCGGGAGAGGGGCGGGGCAACCGGAAATCCCGGAGGTCGGTGCTTCGCGGTGGGAGGGCCGGCTCCTCCGCCCACCAGCTCTCTCAGGAGCCGCAGCTGAGCCGGGCCCGGTGCGCGGGGGCTGCCCTTGGCCTGCAACCCCCGGGGCGTTACCGGCGAGCGTGTCGTCCCCCCCCAAGACTACCGCTCCCGGCTTCCTTTGCGCTGCCGCCGCCGTTTTCTGGGCGGGGCCGCGCAGTCCGCGCGCTCTCATTGGACACTTGGCGAATAGGCGAGGCCGCGGGCCAATCGCCGCCAAGCTTCCGCGGGCCGCCCTGCGGGGGCTGCCCAATGAGGGGCGGCAGGGGGCGGGCCGCAGGGGCGGCGGCGGCAGCGGCGGGCGGCCGAGCTTCGCGGGGTGCCCGGGCCTGGCCCTCGCGCCGCCATGGCGGCCGCTGCCCGCGACCCCCTGTCCGCCCCCGGCCTCGACGAGGCGGACGAGGCGGTGCGGGGAACGTGCGAGGACGCGTCCGTTTGTAAACGGTAGCGGCTCCTGCGGCGGGGCGGGGTGGGGTGGGGCAAGGCAGGGCAGGGGGCAGGGCAGGCCCCTCCGGTGTCCCCACGCAGCGGGCCGCGGCCCTGGGGTCGGTTCTGGCGGGGAGGTGAGGCGGCAGCGAAGCTCCGGGCGGCCTCCGGAGAGCCGGGCTGGAGGAGGCGGGGGGAGCCCCTGCCTCTCCCGGGTGCCGCCCCGCGGAAGGTGCCGCCGTGCCCGGGGCTCGAGCGGCTGCGGGGGCCGGCTGGCCGCGGGAAGGCCCCCCCGGAGCCGTACATCTGTGCAAGCGGAGCTGTGGAGGGGAGAATAAACTTCAAAAGGTGGTCGGAGTTCCCCTTTGAGAGGGCGGATGTTTGTGCTGAATCCGCTTTTTTCTTGGACCCGCAGCTTGAGCCTTCTGCTCTGCCATAAACTTTGCCCACTTCTGTTAGTAAACACCTGCCCAGTTTTCAACTTGGAGTTTGTTTATAAAACGGCAGAGGTGGTAGCTGGACTTATACTCTCTATTAGTGGGGACCTGAAATTTCACTGATGTTTGATATCCCAGGGAAAACCGTATTTTTCAGAATTCTTTACGCCTCCTCTGCAGGGTGGGTGCTGGGAGGGTGAGGACTTTTGTTGCCCTGTTGTGTGTGGGGGTGAATTTAACTTCTGTTATTGCTGGCTTTTTGTTCTCACCTTTTGTTATTGTTGTAGCTGCAGGTTGTTGGGTGGTTGAGTTTGTTTTTGAGAGTTCACCTTTTCAAATCAGTTGTAAAACTAGTAAGTTCTATTAGAATAGAGTAGCACTGTTGCCTGTGTTAAAGTGATATGTAGAAGCTCTGGATTAAATGCAAGCAGCTCATAGCATCATAACATATAGCAGTAAAGCGTGCTTGGCGTGCGGTCTAAGGAACTTTAGCCAGACAGTTTCTCTGTTTGCTGGGTCCTCAAGGAGGAAATATTCGAGATTAGGGTCTTTGCTTGCAGAAGTTAATCAAATTGTGTAGAGGCCATTAAAAAGATGCTTGTTTAATATGGCAACAGCCAAAATTTTTAACTAGTCTTTATATAACTTCTTAATTGAACTAGTTCCACACATTCGACAGATTTTTTTAAACTATGTCTGCCCGTAAACACTCAGGCCAGAGAGTGACATTGCAGCCTGTGTATCTTGTAGAGTAAATCTTGGTGGCCTTATTTCATAATTCTTATTTTTTTCCCTCTGTTTGACAGGTTTGCTGTAAGTGTTGGCTACTGGAAGGACCCTTACATCCAGTATTTTGTGAGACAAGCCAAAGAAAGAAAAGCACCTGAGATAAATAGAGGCAAGTTGGCACGTGACTGTGAATGAAGACAGTGCAAATGTGTTCTGAACTGGTCTTGAAGAGCACCTGCAAAATCTCTATATACTGGGTGTTATGGAGTGTAAGAAATACATAAATGACAGAAGTTTTCTTCACAGTAATAACTCCATGCGGTAGCGGATCTTTTAAATATTATTCTTTAAATCAAAACTCTCACCCTTTGCTTTCTGTATTCTGAATGGAATGTCTCTCTGTGTCTTGGCATGCAATAATCTCTACAAAGCAATCAGAAATGTTGATGTGGCCCAGGTCATTAAGGTATGTCAGCTCATGTCTCTGCAAAGGTATACACACCAGCTAGAATTATTCTGCTCAGTTTGAGGTAAAGTGACTAAAACTTCTATTTACCCAAGGAATCCCGTTTTATCAGTGCATCAGATTTTGTTAGTAATAAAAAAAAAATCCAAACCTGAAGACCATTAGGTATCTTAAAGAGTGCATTATTCTTCCATTTTTTAAACAGATACCTTTTTTTAATGACAAATAAACACCATTTTTTAAGTAGACAAGGAGTTTACAAAGTTAACTAAAAATCTTACTGAGTGTTAAACATTAAGTATTATATTAAAATAATAATTAAATACAACCTTTTTGTTTGTTAACAGGCTACTATGCTCGTGTTCATGGAGTCAGTTATCTGATTAAAGCTTTCCTAAAGAAGACAGAATGCAACTGTCAAATTGTTAATCTTGGTGCTGGCATGGATACCTTGTTCTGGAGATTAAAGGTAACGATAGCTGAGAGTAATGAACTTGGCTGAAGGCAGAGGTTTGTGAGTCCTGCAGCAGACTGCCCTGCCTGGTCTGCCGCAGTTCTCAGCTCGCTTAGAATTAGTTTAGATACCCTCAGACCTCAGTGGGCAGGAGGGGCTGTGGTTTTCACTGGCTTTTGCCAAAAAGTGTGTGGCAGGAAGCTGACCTCTAGTGGACTTTCAGGAACAGAGCTTGAACGCTGCGTTTCGCTGTCCTCTTTAAGCCTTAAGATTTCACTTTTTTATCCTATGTTAAAACAGGAATAAGGAACCAAAGTTCAGGATTGTGCAGGCTGTATTTACATGTTTCTGAATTATTTATGTAAGTGTGGGTTTTATATATGTAAATATATATGTCTGTTTATACGCGTGTATGTAATTCACAAAAATTCAGATAATATATGATAGTATCATTCTGAGTGAGCACACCTCTGTGTCATCTTGTCTTCTCATTAGCATTTACATTTGTAAATTTACTTTCTGGAAGAAAGCCTGAAGAGGCCAGTCATGTTTCACTTGGTCACAATTCATTATATTTCTGTCAGTGGAAGGGAAAAAATATTTTTTTCTGAGATGTGAAGCATTTTTCTTACCTACATTCCTATGAACACTGTGTTAATACACAGTTTTATTAACTTTTCTGTAACAGTGATTTTAAAAGCTAAATCGGGGCCTGTAATTCCAATTCTTTCTGCTTGTAAAGAGCAGGTGAAGTATAATTAACGTACAGAAGATGGGACCCAGTTAACAGAGTGCTTCAGTGTTCTGACTACTGATTTAATCTACTGTTCAGAAGTTCACGAGGTTGACAAGCTAGGACTAGCAGTACGTATCCATCACAAAAGGATTGCTGCATAGGGAGAAACTTGGTGCAGCTTATCTGTCAGGGTGTTAAATAGTGACAACGTGAAATGAAGAGGTTTGCCCCTTTTCTGTAGCAGTGGAATACTGATGCACTTGTAGTCTGGCTGTCGGTTTGAGGATACTTTGTGGAACGTGGTCACTTTCGGTGTAAACCTGTGCAAAATGTTCCTGATTCCTTCCTTACAAGAATGTACTGAAGATGCATGGTAAATGTTGTAATAGTTTCCTGTTGCAGTGTTCTTCTAGATCCTGATAATGTTGGAATACATGTTTTCAGTGACCTAGTATCTAGGATTGCTGCAGTATATAAAATGTTGAATTGCCTTAATGCTTAGAGAACATTCTAATGTCTCCCAGCTGTTTTTGTTTTTCTGGGGTTTTTTAAGCTGTGGGACATAGTTATGCTACTGTTACAAATGCCATGACTTAAGGTTTTATCTTCTTGTCATGTGCACGTGAAGCTTGAATTTCCCTAATTCTAGAGTCTTCCTCCAATTCTCAGGATGAAAATCTTCTCCCTAGAAAATATTTTGAAGTGGATTTTCCGATGATAGTTGCAAGAAAAATACATAATATCAAGTAAGTGTAACACCTATGTTTAGCTATGTGAAACTGAATGTCATTCAGCAAAATGCCATGAATTGCAAGCTACAATTATTTCATCTCTCCTGAGAAACTCTTCATGCTCTAGGATTTAGAATAAAGGTTTCATTATGCAGGCGAGTCATACATGTGACTGTGCAGCCACTATTCCAAATTGAAGGAGTTCATCCGTAGAAGCTTTAGAGAGGCAAGCAGACTTTATTCTTAATTATGTAAAATATAATGGGCAGGGGAAGCCTCACGATGCTTAGAGGTGATTAAGTCATCTACTCTTCCTATTGGAGACAGTCGTAAATTCCCAGACTTGCACGCTCACTAGAGTGGTAGGATGGCTGCTACTATACGTGAATAGTGTGTTTGAATGAATACATAAAGGCTTATGGAGGATACCTGGAGAGAGTGTCTGGACTTCTCTTGAAAGATTACCTCAAAACTTTAGAGTCGTTGGGTATAAAACTCAATTGCAACCAAGTCTAACTTGCAAACATTTTCATTTCCAGTAGAGGGCAGAGGTATTCTCTTGTCTGTTTTTCACACACACACACACACACATCTATTAAAAAAAAATAAATCGTAAGCACACTGTTAAACAAGCTTAACTGCTCAGAGATGCTTCTTCCTTCTTCCCACAGATCAAAACCTCCCCTGTCAAAACCAATTATGGAATCCCATTCAGGGGACTCTCTTCTAATAGGTGAGTCATCTTAAAAATAAGTCAGCAATGTACTGCAGCACTTTTAAAACTTTTCTGATCATTTTGTTCTGCTATGTGGGCAGGCTTTTAATGCTTGAAATGCTGTTTGGACAGAGAATTGGGAGGGAAAAGAGGCTTTTTTCTTCTCTTACAGACTCCTGCCCATTTGTTCTGTGTCATGTTAGAAACGTCTTCTCTTGAAGTGGTTTTATTCTGCTAGAAAGTTGTTGGGTTTTTTATCTTTTTCCCTTGTATGTAGCTTAAGTTAAGTTTTCTTTTCTGCCACAGAAAAGGAAGAATGCTGATAGTCATGTATACTGGATTAAAATATCTATTGAGTGTTTTCTTCTGTCTTCTTTCTGCCTCATTAAGAGCACAAGTCTTTACGTTTAGTGGAGTCTTCACAGAAGAAATGCAGCCTGCAAAGTCCGTTCTCAGGAGCCAGTGCCATTTGTTGTATTTTAGTATTAAGAGAATATTAGATTCAGGTGGTGGTGTGTGGTTGTACTTTCTTGGCTTACAGCCTCAGTATGTTTGTGTCAGCATTTGTGTAATTTGAAAACCTCTTTGCTTGTGGAAAAAAACCTTGGGTTCTGTTGAGTAATGTTTCAGTGCCTGAATAGCAGACGCTGCACAACTGCAGTAGCTGCTTTGGACCCTTTAGGAGGAACAGTAATTATCTGCATCTACGATACCAACTAATTTGTGTTAGCAGATATGACCCTACAACAGAGCTAGCAGCCTTTTGTGTTCCCTGATACGGGATACATGTATAGGTGCTTTTAATAAGCACAATTCCAGCTAAGGGTCTGGAGGGCTTGAAAAGGGCCCTCCAAAGCATGAGGAAGAGTACAGAGAGTGAGGAGGCGTGGTTGTGCTGCCAGTGGCGAGGTGTAGGTGCTTCACCTCAAGGCTCTTTTAGTGCTTCGACTTGGATCAGAATACTGCCACACGCTGAGTTGATTGTGTTCACATTTTATTGCTGCGTTTTAGAGATTCTTAACTTACCAACCTTTTAGATGCCATCTGAATGGCAGAATTCTCCATTGTATGTTCAGGTCTCAAAAGATGAAGGCCCAGTGCTCTGTCTCAGAAAAAGGGCTCCTAAGTACCCCTGTGTTTCAGCTAGGAGGCCTTCTTATATCTCTTACATAGAATGAGATATGCTGCATAAGCACTGTTAAAAAGACATTAACACAAGGTTGATCAGGAGGCTTTGATAGTATTTGTGTTGCTGAGCAGCTGTAGATGCATCTAGTACAGCAAAACTACTGCAAACCTCAAGTTGCAGCAGTGTATTGTAATCAAAGGCTACTAATAGCAAGTCACAGCAGTCAACAGCAATTAACATAACACTGTTGGAATGTATTGGAGTGGCTTATTTCTCTAAATCTGTTTCTGTTGTTCTTTCTCAATGCTGGGTTCTAATTACTTTAGATTAGCCATTTTACTGTAACCTGGCTGATGTAGGCTCTACTACACTGAGATCTTTGGGATGTAGCATAATGTCTCAGATAACTTGGAGATGGTAGAAGTCTGCTGTGGAATCCCAGTTTGAACTGGCACTTGATAACCACAGGTCAGTTTGAGTGAAATCTGTGTGGGAACTCTCATTTAAGGACATACTTCATGTGGAAGTATCACCAGAAGAGGCTATGGACTAGGTAGACAAAACAAACGGTGAGATGAGTAGAGATTTCTTACAGATCTAAAGGAACTTGACAATGAATTCGCTCAGCTACTAACTGGCATATACCCTCTCATTTTAAAACTGTCTTAGTACCTGAGAACTGGAAGGTGGCGGCTATGACTCAAATGGGCTCCAGGAAAAATCCAGGGAACTACAAGCCAGTAGGACTGATGTCTCTACTGGACAAATTAGTAGAAACTAACAGACAGAATTAGTGGAACACAGGAATAATGTAATGTGTTGAGAGTCAACATGGCTTTTGCAAAGGTAAGTTATGTCTCGCAAATCTATTGGAGTTCTCTATAAGAGTCAACAAATATATTGGAAAAGGACACCCGATTGATGTAGTACTTGAATTAAAAAAAATGTGTTTTGACAGTGTCCCTTACTGAAGTGTGCCAGAGAAGTTGCATGGTTGTTGTGGGGGGAAGGAATGGTTCTCATATGGATAAAGAGCTGGGGATGGAGGGTAGGCATATGTTGTTAATTTTCATTATGGATAGAGATGGAGATCTGTGCTTAAGGATATGTTGTTGTTCAACACTAAGAAATGATTGGGAAAATAGAGTGATTAGTAAGTGGCAGCTTGTTGGCAAGTCAAAACTCTTCAAGGTGGTAAAGAACTGTAGAAGAATCTTGTGAAATTAGTGACGTGGTGATAAATTCAATGCGGATTAATATAAAGTGATGCACATGGGTGGAAAAAATAGTTTGTGCATCACAAGTAAATGGTAGGCAGCTGGCTGATTATTGTTGCCTGCATATAAGATCTGGGTATTGTAATAAATAGATATATGAAAACATTGGCTTGGTAATGGTCCAGAAATTCAAATCAAATTTGAGGAATCTTAAAAAAAAAGAGAGAAAACAACATAGATGCCAGTATTAGTAGTACGTGTTTGCCCTCTTTTTGTCTTTTCCCTAGGTAGGTGCTGTTGGCATCTGTGAGAGGCAGGATACCATACTAGGGGGACCTTTGGTCTGGCCCGATACAGCTGTTAGACTAATGTAGTGTTCTGGGAGTACCGCCTGGCATAGGGAGTGTAGTGGGGCATAATGGAGCAGCATTTCCAGGTAGGGAGATGTTACTTGTTTTTGTGGGTTTTGGGGCGGGGATATGGACTGGGATTTTAGAATCCTGGGGAGAGAGGTTGTCCCGTCCTGTCCCTGGCCCCCCCCACCAGTCAGTTCCACACTGCTGTCTCATGTATACCAGGAATAATTTGTTTAGATGCTTTGGAATTTTATTTTTTGGGTTGTTGTGATATCGATTGACATGACTCTTGTTCTCTTAATGCTTTTCTTCTCACACGAAATGTTTTCATTTCATGAAAGTAGTGCTAATAGACAACTTTATCGGCTTCAGGGCAGCATCTGCTTTCTCCTTGCCCTTTAGACAAGGCAATGACAGCATGGCTTGCGATTCAGGTATAGATATTTGTGGCCTCTACCCTTGAATGCAGCAAGATGACACTTGTCATTGGACAGCTTTGTCGTTTCCTAGGGAATGTTAGATCTCCAGGGGAAAGCAGTGAATTTGTGCAGTAACCTGACATTCCTGTGGCAGTATCAGGTTAAATTGTTTTCAAAGTCCAGTGGCCCTATTTGTTTTATGATGCAGTTGCTAGTGTGGGGAAGTTGGTACTCCACCTTTGCTACCTTGCAAATGCAAAATTACACCTCAGTGCACTATTATTACCTTTTAGTGCCACTCATACACTTTCTGCCGCTGTCCAGTCCAGCTTTGTTTAACTTACTTTTCCCTTCCATTTCCAAACTTGCTTGTAAGCCAACGCAGATGTCAGGGCTTTTGCTGTCTTGGTTGCATGCCTTGTGTTGGGGATGGTCCTGCATTTGCAAGACAAACTAGATTTTGTAATGCTTTGACACGTACCCTGTCCTGATGTTGCAGATAACAAACAACCCAAGTGAGACCAATACTGCGTTGTGCCTTTGAGCCTGCAGAGTAGATTGTATGGGCTGGTTGTTTGTAAAGCTGCCAAGGATACCTTAGGATGAAAACCCTAATGAAATAGGTTTGAGTCAATAGGATCTTGCATGCTGTCTCTTGGAAAACCTCCAGGAAATTGTTTCGCTAATTTGAGAGCAAGAAAGGAAAACTCTGAATTCTTATAGCAGAGTGTGCCTGTGATTCTACTTCAGCAGATGGATTAAGGTAGTGGGTGAGTGCCTGAGGGCCACTGTAAAACAGAGCATTGACTTGCTGCTAGCACATTTCTGTGAAGAAAAGTTTTATTGCAGTGAGGTCAAAAGGCAACTGTAAGCAGCTCCTGCTGCTATTCAGTTACTGCGGTGATGTCTAAATTTGAACCACTTGTATTGTTACTTCTGTGCCAAAAGGAATGGAAAATATACGTACAAGTGGTATGATCAGAGCAAAATGTTCTCCGTTGCATTATGCGTGGATAACAGAAGCGTGCACCTAGGCTGAGGGAGTCTGTGTTGGGTGGGTGGGGTGGGCTGGAGTAGTGGGGCTCATTTTCTTTCTCTCCTTCACTCTCCCCTCCCTTGTATTTCTCACATGAAATCCAAATCTGGTATTTTTCAAACCTTAATTTCAGACAAGTACAAGAGAAAAACTTTGTACAGAACTGAATGTGCTGAGCGTGAACATCACAAAGAAAGCCATAAGGTAGCTCCATGCTCGAGAAAAGTACATCATGGCCAAACAACTTTGCTAAAAAATGACATGACGTATTGGCTCCTGGGTAGGAATTAGTGCTTGGAATATGGGTTTTCAACGGATTAAGCCATGAAATGTTTCTGGCTATGCCGGCATTAAGGCTGTTGGCCTGAGTCACAACAAGGTGGCCACAAAGTGACACTGCCTTGCATGATAGTGCAGCATGGGGGGTGGTCTCTGGCCCAGCCAGGAGGGAAGGGAGCAGCAGAGATCTGATGGGGCAGGCAGGACTGCCTGTGGGGCAGTCACTGTGGCAGACACCTTCCAAAGAGTGAGATCACAGTAAGAAAAAAAAAAAAAAAAAAGAGTAGAGTTTTTAATCACCAAAAAAATTGATTCCACTAAAAGAAACTTCCTGTTCATAAGAAGAAATCAGTGGAGACCATGTGACTGCTGCCAAGCTGAAACTTGTTTTTTTCCTTTTTCAACTGCTCTGTAGATAGGCAGGTATCGTAAAATACATTTGCACCAACACTGTGCAGTCAGGGTAGCAGCATATTTGCACATTTTCATACTTAAAGCATCAGACTCTTCAATAAAGTAGAAATTGGTGCCAGACAATGAGCTAGCAGTACATTATTTTCTGGGGTGTTTATGGCTATGCTCTGACTTTTAGCCTCCAGGCTGGGAACAGTGGCAATTCCAGCTACCATCAGCTGCCATTGCCTTGCAATAAGTGAGCGTCTGCTATCTGAGCATGAAGTGATGGAGCAGTTGTCAGTCTCATTTTAAAATCTTAAAGTTGTTTGCCCAGTTAAGTATGATCTTTTCATCCCTTTGACTTTATATATAAAAGGATTTTTTTAATGCCATGTATAGGCCAAAGGTAGATGCTAGCAGAAAGTCTTACAAGGAAGTTTGGAAGAAGCTTAGCTTAAATTCTTTCCTCTTGCCTTTTTTTTTTTTTTTTTAATCTTTTGCCTCTCTTTTTGCATTTTAAAATTGACTAGTGTGAATTTAAAATTTTTCCCCAAGATTAAAGTATCGATCATAAATGTTGAAATATATGAATTATAGAGATACTTCATGAGGTGCTTTCAGACATGTTTAAAATGCATGATTTGTAGCAATTGTATCAGCTCGTGTATAATGTGTGTGCAGCTCTGCCTCGGTACTATCTGTGGTTGTGTTTGCCAACAACCATCAATGGAGAGTCGAGGGAAGTTGGCAGGAAAATGTGTGGAGGAACAAGTACATTCTGTCTGAATGGACCAGAGGAGAACCAGGCAGCCTGGATACTGGAAATGGAAATAAAGTGATTGCATTTGGAGTAAAAGGTGTTTGAAGAAAGGAAGACAATCCGTTCCTCATCACCTGCCCTGGCCTTTGAAAAGTTTCTGCTGCGGGGAGTCCTGTCTTAAGGCATTAAGTATACTTGGCTTTAAGGTTTAAAGAATATTTCTGCTGAACCAAATCACCCCTAAAGAAACCTGTTCTAGTTTGGTGTTTTGTGTTTTTTTTCCAGTAGTTAACTTAAAATAGCCAGGCTATGACTATAGGGCTGTTTATTGTCACTTGTCTACAACCTACGTCTCTAAAACCAACTAACTGTCTGCTGGGCTGCACAGCTCAGCCCTGAGGATCACCAAGGCGTAACAGAAATTCTGTGGGGTTGGTTCATCCATATACAGGTTTATTAAAAACAATGTTAGTAATTGTGGTTGCTGCAATTTGAACCATTTTGAAGGAGATTTTTCTAACGTAAAGTTTGAGAGGTTTTGCCTTTTCCTGTTCTTCAGTGATTCAAACATTTGTATCAACATGGTGTGAGCAAGAGACATTTACTTCCACCTCTGGAGTGTTTGTACTACTTCTGTTATTGGATCACTTAAAAATTGTTGTAGTTTAGTACTGGTTATAATTAATGTACTAATGTGTCCAAGTCAATGAAGCTGGACAAGAAGGTTGCATTAATTTCATACTAATGTTGGTGACTGACGCTTACTGTGCTGTATCTCCAGACAGCAAACCTATTACTATATAAATACTTTACTGTGTGTGGTGGGGGCTTTTTGTGTGGCTTTTTTTGATGCCATTATCATGGCCTTGATGTAATAACTTAAATAGAAGGGTGTGGGAAGTCTTAAAGCTATTACAGAACATGCACACAGAAAAAAGCCTTGACTCAAAATGTTGAATCATTTGCCACACAACTCTTTTTTTTCTTTTTTTTCTTCTCCCCCCTGTAACTCTGCACGAACTGTTCTGGTTTCCATATCTGTTCAGAAGTGTTGCTGGAAAGACAGCTATTGTCACTGCTAGTGCCATTTTCAAACAGTTGGTCACTTGAAAACTAAATGGAGGTGCATATTCTAGAATGTTTGAAGCACTGCTCAATTTAATAAATTACCTTCTCCCTCCAATTTTTTTTTTTTTTCCCTCTCCTGGAATTTTTTCCTCCCTTTCATCCTGTCTCTTCAGCCACTTGGCTTCTTTTTCTCTCTTCACCTAGCTCTTGACATTGCTTCCATGTTACTGCTCAGGAGCTGTGCCTGCAGCGGGAGCCCCCACGGAGCAGTGCCGCAGCTTGCTGCTGCAGGTGGATAGTCACTGGCTGTTACAAGCCCACTTGAAACTCTCCCTTTGGGGTTTTTTTCACTGTTTAGCTTTCTTATTTCCCTGCATGCTCAGTTGCCCGAGTATGGTAAGAGGGGAAAATTATGTGCTGTTCTGTCTTAATGACTTCACTAGTAAAGCTGAGGTGTGAAAGCCATCGGATACGTTCCTGCAGAACTTTATGTCTTTAAGTAGGTTTGATGCTGCACTCGGGAAATGCTTTCTATGGGGCCTGGGCTCACCTAGTTGAATTAATTGCAGCTGGTTGTCAGAATTCTTGGTAGCAAGATGCTCATGTTGCTGCTGCCTTCCTTAGTTTCACTAGTATGGCAAAGTGTCTTTTGACCTGAGTCTTAGTTCCTCCTTCATGTTGGAAAGCATTTACAGGAGCTTGCTGCTTGTTGTATCCCAGGGTGAATATTTGTTTCTCAGAATACCTTTCCTAATTTAACTCTATACTTAAATTCCATTGCTAGGTCATACAAAAAGCTAATGTTTTTTGGCCCCCAAATCTTTGTCTGATACCCATATATATTATATAGCTATATGTATTGTTAATTTATATAGCTATATCTATTGTTAATATTTGAAAGATTGTTACTCTTAACTTAGTTTTCCAGAAATCGACATACGTTTGGTTTTGTATGTAGTTCCTTACGTGCATACATAGGGTCATCTAAAAAGACTCTACAAACAAAACAAAAAACCCTGCCTTTAATCTTCACATCTTTCTTCTCTCTGCATTCCTCGAAACCATGGTAACGGGTGGGATAACCTATCTGCATTAGAGTGGCTGCAGAGTGAAAGAGTAGGCTTGTTGCAGAGTCTGATGGTAATATATCACCATCTGTAAACCACAACAATCAGGTATAAGGGAAATTAATGTTTTAAAAAGAAGAGTTTGCTGTTAATTGTTAGGTGTAGCAGGTCAAAGTTTGACTTCAAGTTCATATGTTCCTGTATATGTTTTTAAATTTGTAATTTCAGCATCCCTCTTATTTGTAACTGTTAGTCTCTCAAAATCTTAAACTTGCAGATTCTCACAGCCTAGACTCCAGTCGATATTCCATAGTAGGAGCAGATCTCCGTTTCTCATCAGATCTGGAGGAAAAGCTAAAGAAACATAACCTGGATATACAGTAAGATTTTTTTTTTTTTTTTTTTATTTTTTGTTTTTAATGAAGGCTTGTGGAAGTGTATTGGTGAGAGTAAAGTCAGCTTTGGGCATACAGTATCTGCATCCAGTGCTCATTATGCTATTTCCATGGTTACCTTTTCCTGAGCCCTTTGAGCAGACAGAATTGTTCAGACACCTCATGCAGCCTCACTGAGCCGAGCAGGCTGGCATTGCCTTGGCTGCTTGGTAGTTCCAAGCTTGAAGCAAGGTCATTCCTTGCATAGTGTATTTTGCAAATTGTGTTTTTATCCTTCCTGAGAAGATCAAACGTTACAGAACTATTTGCTTCTTGTCCTTAAAATGCTGAGGGGAATAAGCATGGCTTTCTGTGAATGTGTTTCTGGTGGTTGGTTCTCTTTGGGGTATATGATCTTTCACACGAGTTAAAGCTCTTGGTGCAGGCCAGGCAGTGGTAACTCATTCTCGGTCTCCCCCGCATGCCTTGCCTGGAGGGGCTGAGTTCCCGCCGCAGCCATTTTCTGCCTCAGAGCTCATACAAGTTTTTTTTCTCTACTTCATGAATTTAACTCTTTTAGAGATTTATAAAAGAGTTATCCCGTGCTTGAATTTGGTTGTAATTTAGTTAATAGCATCATAAGTTATTAAAGGGGAATCTCTAAACTAGAGAGGAATCAAAATGTCATAAATTTATTTTTTTAAGAGTTGGATCAGTTGCATTTAGTTTTAATGCTGACTGATGGGCAGTACCTAGATCAGTGAACATCTTCCACCCCTATTGTAAGGGCTGTATGAGTAAAGGTTTCAGGGATCTTAGCCGGTAAAAGGAAGAATAATTCTGTCAATGTTAAATTATTTCAGAGCTTTATCTTTGTAATTATTTTCTATTGCCTCCACTTAAAACCCCTACTGTTCCCTAGACCTTTTGGTAAAGTGATTGCTGTGGAGTCCTTTGAGAGCTTAACTCCAGAAGCTAATATCTGGGATTATATTGTTCAAGCGTTAGGCTTCTGGAGGGGACAGGATTTAAGTTTTTAGAATGGATGATGGACATACCTTTCAAATACAAGATATATAAATAGCGGCTATCTGGCTGGGTGGGAGAGAGCATATGGGTAAGCAGAATGCATCAAATTGCCATTTAAATCTTTACACTTCCATCTTCTGAAATCTTGCCTTGCTTGCCTACATTGCTGCTTCTTGTGGAATTTCTCCTGCTTCTAATGACTTTTCTTTTTCCTGTTCATTCTAGCAATTAAAAGAAAATGCCATAATTCTAAGGAAAATTACTTGTGTAGATGTCTATTTTTGGGGGGGTTTTGTGGATGGAGGGGGAAGAGGCAATGTGCAAACTATAGATTGCATTTTTTTTTTAGATAATAACACGTGAAGCTTATTCCACAGATATTGAACAAATTTGTGTAATTAAAATTCTTCTTAAAACTTTTTTAAAGAGAAAACTTTTTTTTTTTCCAATTTGTATTTTATTCCTAATCTTACTGATCTCTACAAGAGTGCGGACTGTGTATATAGGGTACAATTCTTCTGCAAAATGAATTTTAATATGCATTTCAGTTCATGCTGTCACAGTTCAGAAGATCACTTACAGAATACATGTTCTTCTGGGCTCATGGTATGACTGACTTTAGGGGAGATGGTTTCCTAATATCTCTGTTTTGTAACCATGGGAGTCCCCTGTGGTTAATTTGTCAACTCCAGAAAACCCAATTCTAGTCAGCTTGATGAAGTGATTTCATTCAGTCTTAAACGTCTAGTTCATAAAAAGGGGAGCTCTTTTAAGAAATTTTGGGGACATGAAACTACTTGCTTGCTAACAATTCTTTATAGATTTTTCTTGTTCTTTTGCTAGAAATAGTTCTCTTGTTTTCTTGTTTTAAAGTTTGCCAACGCTTCTGGTAGCGGAGTGTGTGCTGGTTTACATGACACCGCAGCAATCTGCAAATCTTTTAAAGTGGGCAGCAAGCACTTTTCCAGTGGCGATGTTTATAAATTATGAGCAGGTAAAATAAAAGTGGCATTTTTAGACCTGATTTATTGTCATAAAAATTGCTTTCAAAAGTGGGAGTTCTGCTTGTGAAATAAGAGTGGGCCATATCTTGCTGAATTTCTTCAGCAATGTGTTTTATCTTGTAGATCTGTTAGCTCATTGTAGAGAATATACAGCTAATCTGAAGGATAATTTCTGGACTATATTGAACCAAAATAACTGAGACTTAATCCATATGTGGTGAAAACCATAGAATATTGGTTTGCATATGACAGGGGAAAAAAGAAATGATGCTGAATGTTAGATATGACTGTATAACATTATGTAATTACCTCTCTGTTCTTTGGCAAAGTGGAACAAAAATCACATCAGCATGAACTCATCTTCTCTGTGTGGAAGTAAAACACTGCCTCGGGGGAACTAGGTGGCCTCAGGAATTAGTAACAGGATCTTCCAAGCTGTAAATCACTGAGAGAGCTGAACCAAATTGCTGACAACTTAAAGCAGAGTCAGTTCCCAGTCCCAGTGTCTGTAAAGGCAGTAGCATTGTCACTATTAAACTGGCACTTGGCTTGTAAACGTGAGGTAGCTGAGGAGATTGGGGCAGTGGGAGATGAGACCTGGTGTTAAGAATGTGAAACTTACTTTAATGTTATCCTGTACATTTTATGACCTAGAAAATTCAAGAGTTTAACCAAGTTACTGCTTTTCACTGCGATTACGTTCTTTTCGGAAGGGGGAACACTTTTGTCTCATTCTCTACCTGAGGTGAATATGACGGACCGGTTTGGACAGATCATGATTGAGAACTTGCAGAGACGACAGTGTAACCTGGCTGGAGTGGAAGTCTGCAGATCCTTAGACTCTCAGGTAAGAGGGGCACAGAGTTCTGGCTGTGTTTGATATTAAACTTAATTAATCTGTCTGCAATTTCTGCCTCTCTGTGTGCGCTGTGAGGCTCAAAGCAGTGACCAAAGCAGGTTTGGGATGGGGCAGCTGCCACCTACTGAAACCCTTTCCTATCCACGTTACAGCAGTTCCCTGTTATCAGTGCCATGGTTTCTCGATATCACTTAGTTTTGGTAGTTGTACAAAAACTGCAGTAGATCAGAGCAAAGCTCCAGCTATCCTGCTGTCCTCTCTACTCAATGGTTAGCAGCAGATGCTTAGAAAACAGTATAAGAGCCCTTCAAAGAACAGGTCAAGCAGATGGCCTACAAAATCCTCAAGGGGGGAAAAACTGTTCTTGGGTATTTTTCCTTGAGTCCTCTGAAAACTCTGCTGCTTGTTTATTTTACAGAGGGAACGACTGCTGTTAAATGGCTGGGAAACTGCACGTGCCATTGATATGATGAAAGTGTACAGCTTTTTGCCACAGGCTGATGTCAAAAGGTATTACTGATGGCTTGCTTGCGGCCAAAAGTCATCTTCAGATGCCATTTCCAAGGTAGTTCGCTTCAATATCCAGTATGGGATCTCCTAGTACAACAGAGAGAAGGCTGCATGCAGATGCTAGCTAGGTGGACAGAACACGTCTGAGTCTGAAGCTCTGCAGCACCTCAGGAGTAATGCCTGGAGCAACATTAATGATCCAGAAGGTTATTGCTGTCAGGAGTAGGCTGGCAGTGGTGATGTTTTATTTGGGTGCGATATAAAGCATCTCATGACAGAAATTTGCAGATGAAAGATGCTACAGAAATGCTGTGTTGAGTTGTTGCAGTAGCTAAGATACTTGTTGTGAACGTCCAGCCTCCACAACACTGGATGGGTGGAGTGGAGACCTAAAATACAGTCAGAACAGGCAGCCACTTCCCATGTCCCCAAGGGAGACGACATCCGGGTGTTTGCTCCAGTCTTGTAGGCCTAGCTAAGTTTACTTACCCATTTGCTTTTTTACTACAAGTGGGTGGAAAATGGCCAGTTCTGATTTTCCCTTTCTTCTCCCTTGGCAGCATATTTAAGTAATGAGCCAAGGCAGGGCAGCAATTTAGTGCTGTGGCCTATTGTACCCTGCAAGCAGAGAGGCAGAGCGAGGAGAGGTGTGCCCAACAGCACGGTGTGACCATCTCACAACAGATGGGTGCTGCTTCTGTTCATATCATCTTCATGAGCTAGGCTGCCGGGTCTGTAGACAGAGCTTAGTACATAGAGAATATAACTAAAGGCTGTTATGACAGTCAGTAATCTGCATGGATTTTGTTAAATTTTTTGCATTAAAGAAAAGCCAAAAAGGGGGAAACTGTTTTTAATGAGTAACTTCTTAGCTATATAATATGAAGTGTGAATTGCTATGAGTCATTCATTAACTATAGTTTGAATTAGCTGAACAAGTTACCTTGGCCAAACTAAGTATTTGCATATGGGGATTTCTCAAACCATGGAACTGAACAGGTGAGACTGAAAATCATAGGTTGTTTAAATAGGAACGATGACTGTGTGATTGTACCATATGGCACTTGTGGAGAGACGTAGCTTGTACTTTTTTTTTGCAGCATTTTTGACTACCTTAGATCTGTTCAGCTCCTTCCACTTGTTCCAAATGCCAAGAAATAGGTTACATAAATTCTGTCCTTTGGTAATAATGAGGCAAATAATGCTTTGTATTTATAAAAATTTTTACAGAAGTGTTCTTCTGCAGCACTCACACATCCATGAATGTACTTAGGAACTTTTGCCCCACAGCCTCTTCTGATCTTCAGTAGCAGCCCTTCCAGATATTTAGCATGGAAAATAAACACTTTGATATTCAAGTAATCTAGAGTGAGAGAGAGGAATGTGCCAGGTTAAACTTTTTACAGCAAGCACAGCTTGGGAGAAGTTCTCCCATTTGTTTGGTGGAAGACATTCAAAGATCTTACTTTAAGAATCCTAGGTAGGAACCATTTTAGGAAAAAAAAAAAATCTTAAGATCTTATATGTACCATTTGGTTTGTGGTTCATCATGAGCTCATGTGGGAGAGTTGTTAGAAGCTGCACTGGTGTACCCATCACTCTTCCAAGACATAATATGGACTTGTTGTGATTGTCTGGAGAAAATAGTATCTTCAACTGTTCAGTGTATTCCTTTGGTAAAGATAAATCTCCTTCCATTAGGCTGTACTATTGTGTCTGCTTAAATCCAGCAAGAGCAGATATATGCAGTAAAAGGGGCTACAAGAGAATTACTGGTATTTGTGAGAAGTTACGTAGATTAGTCCTGGAATATGAAATTCCAGGGATGAGAAGTTGAAAACATCTTGTGGGTCACTTGTTTCATACATTGACAACAAAAGCTAGGAGTAGTGGTGGTATCTTCATGATGGATAACACCTGTATTTATGTTCTAGAAAGGTAGCTGCCTTATTGGCCATAGTTCTCACTCCTGTGGAATGAAAAGGGTACATTAAAAACTGTGCTGAAACTCCAGCTTGAATCACCATTTTTATTTTATTCTTACAGAATAGAAGGACTTGAATTCCTAGATGAAAAGGAGCTGTTTGAACAACTAATGCAGCACTACTGCATCTGCTGGGCTTCAAAGGACAGCAGTAATCTGGGTAATGTTCTCCAACATGTAGGAGATGACCCTTTGCATTGAAATCTCATGTGGAAAAACTGGGACTATATACACCAGGTGTAAGATAGAAGTATCCTGTAGCAGGAACGTGGTCTCCTCTGTGTGGTGGTTGGGGCTGTGAACACCTCCCAGGTAGTGTCTCGTGACTGTTTCTCCACAGCCTTTTGAGGGTTTGTATAGGCAGCTGAGTTGCCCAACAGGAAGCCAGTCCAGTACAGGGGAGTTAGAATTTTTACACTGAAAGATGCCGTATGGGTTACTTTAAATAACTGCCTGCTTTATAGTATCAATGCTAATTGAAAGGTTTACAAATCCTATGCATGTAAAGTGCCATATGGGCACATGGTATATGAAATCACAGTGTCCTGACAACATAAAAATAAATTTGTATTACTTAGCCCAGTCGTCTTCTGCACCATCCCCATTTACATGCATCTGAGACTTTTAAGTTTCCCACACTACTTTCTCCTGGGGGAAGAAATTCCCTCTGAAGTTAACTCTTTTAAATGTTCCTTTTGTTCTTAAAATTCTCTCTCCTAGACTGGAATTGCTTTGAAACAGATTTGCTTTGTGTAGCATTATGTACGTTGCTGCTGCTTAAGAAATAAAAGAATTGTGGTTCAGGTGAAGGATGGGTGTTTACAGCCATTACTTGTACACCTTAGAAAGACAACTCTGTTGCAGACACAGTTTATGTCTACTTTGGTCTGCAACTTCAGGGTCTTCAGTCTTTTCAGAAAACTTCGCTGCCTGCCAGTTTGTATCTTTTTCCTCCCCTCCTCCTTCTCTGCCCTTCCCTTGCTCCTGACAAAGCAGTGCTCAAGAACAAACCTTATTTGCTCTTCCTTAGCAAATATCAATAGATGTAACCTCTGCTGAAGCTGTGGAGCCAGACTGAGTAGCAAAGCATCTGATACAGCTGGTAGGACTAGACCTTCCGTGCCCTGTCGCTGCTGCGGGAACAAAGACACAGCTTCGACAGCTCTGAGCTGTAGAAATGCACATTTTCCATTTGATTTCTTGTGGTTAAAAAATGATGACTGTAATACAGCACTTATTTCTGGAGGAGTTAAGGCCAAAAAGATCACCTATTCATAGTGGCCAGTGTTCCTGGGATCTCCAGGGTGGTTCTTCGCTGTGATTAGAGAAGTATTTAGGACAGTTTTGGATACTGAGGTTAAGTGATGCAGCATATCTTAGAAGACAAAAAGGACAAATCTCAAGGGAGATAATCAAATGTCTAATGCATTGATATGCTTTAATCTAAAGCAGTATTTTATCCAGTGTGAATTTACTGCCCTCATTAATGGTAGTTCCCCAGCTTTCTCTTTAATTTCATGGGCAGACCCATAGGTTCAGCAGCAGCCTCTGTGTTGTTCCTTCTGCCTTCAGTAACTTCAGTAGTCCTTCACATCGGCTTATTCAAATTAATTGCTGCATCACAATCAAAAAAGGCTTTAAAAAGTACCGATCAACCTGTTCCCTACTTCCCTTTCCTCCCACTAAATCCTTTACATTTAAGTTTAAAAAAAGAAAAAAAATTCTCAAAGCATCCTTCTTCCTGTGTCTTAACTGCCCTAACAGTAGTAAAGTACAGGCAGTATAAGAATAAACCCTCGTTTCTCCCCCCCGTTTCCCCTTGTTTTCAAACAGGTCTCGCAAACATCACCTTCTAGTGCATTTGCTGGAGGGAGGCCGTGGGCCCAGACGCCGCAGCGGCTGAGACAAGATCAGGGAAGCGATGGGACCCTGCATGTGCCCACACCAGTCTGCGCGTCTGTGTAAGCAGTGCCGGTACAGAAGGCGATGGGTGCTGCTGATGCCGACGGTCCTGTCGGCTTTTGGTAGTTTTAATGAATCTTTTCTGCCCATTGTGAGCAATTGTTATGAGGCAAGACTCGCCTCCCATTCCCAGATGTATAATGACGGACTTTCGTAAGGTGTGGGTAATTCCTGTTTAAAAGCTTGCCTGCCTTGGTTCAAAACTGAAAGTAAAGTGTTCTTGGATTATATGATTTTCCTCTTTTGTCTTTTTGTGGATGTGTAAAATGTATTTGTGACAGGAAGCTGGAAAAACAATGCTGGTGAGCTGCATTATTGGATATCTCTGCACTGTGCACAGCTGATCATGAAGGTTCAATTTTGTTAATTTTCAGTCTGTTCAGGTTTAGTTTTTATGAAGTGTCACCATGTTACCTTTCTCCAGGCTTTACTGTTGCTGCAAGGCTGTCACTATACTGGATATGTTCTTGCAGGAGAAGGGTGAAAGAAGGGGAGCTGCAATTCTTGTTCAGTGATGTACAAGAAGGGGGATGATGTTAAAGTAGGCTTTATTTAACTGGGAAGGGCTTAGCTTGGCAGTTCAGCACTGGGATGGTGAAGGTAAGAAAGAAATGAATACGAATTTGTACTTCTGGTAGTATCTTTACACCAGTTTCTCATTCTTCTTTCTTTCCTCATAAACAAACCAGAATCCCAACAGCAATGAAAGACCTTGCCCTGTTGTTTGAAATTGAATCTTGCAACCTTCCTATGAGAAAACCAATAAATGTTTAGTATTTATAATTTGCCTAGTGTCTTACTCATTAGAAATTGCCTATTTATATCTGGTTTAGTGACTACATTCTTCCTTTCCCCACATGCCTCACCAAGAGTGTTTAATTTTTTTAGAAACAGTTGCAAGCATAACCGTTTTCATACTGTAGGTGACTTTCTGTACGGTAAGGATACCTGGCTTTGGGAGTAGTTGACATGGGTTTGGACTGGAGCTGTAGGGGAGGAGATTCTCGAGATAGCAGAAAAAGTAAGTTCTCAGAAGTGACAGTCATAACTTCAGAAGAACAGAAGTAGCAAAAAGAAATGGCATTTCCTTCACTGCCCCCCTCTGTGTCGCTGCTCTAGTCACTGGTAGCCACAGGCCACCTGCTGCTGCGCTTGTGTCAAGCTGATTTCTTGAATGACGAGGCACAGAAATGCGGTATTTGGTTACCGCTCTGCTCGGTCTTTGCAAAGTGTTCGCATAAACTCTGCCCCCAAAGGGATGGGATGGACTGTGCAATTATGAAAGGCGCTTATAACCTTTGCTTCCTAGATAACAATATCCGTGGTATGCTTATAACTGCATGTTTTAGATGTCTGGGCTTATCTGTACGCCTCTTGTACGAAGCAGCATGTGCAAGCTGTGTCTGCAGTAGTGTTGGCCCTTCCTCTCTGCAGATGCAGGAGACCAGAAGGGCATGTCTGTTTTTTTCACCGTGCCATCAGGGTTTGCCACGGGGTGGTTTCCCCTGGCAGTTGCCTGCTGTCTGGGTAAGGAAGTAGACTTGCTGATGAGCTGTTCTGCTGCCTGGGAAGCCGGGCAGTTAGCCTTCTGCGTTTAATGGCTTGCAGCTTCTGGGGTTTGCCTTCTGGTTTCACACTCTTGTTACTTAGAGTTTTTGAATATTTTTCATTCCCACTGTGCAATTTCTCTGTCTTGCCCTAACATGAACCCAAGGAGCTAACTTCAGTAAGGATCTATGAATCTGTTGTAATTAGTCCTCTGAGTCCTCCAAACTTACTGCCTAGCTAAACATAGCGTTTATGCCATAGACCTGGAACAAGATAAAAGCATCCTGCTTCCTTGCCTATCTTCAGTGTACAGTTTCTCCTGAGTTAACCTGTGTAGCTGTGTAAAGAGTAGATACTCAGCTGGCGTAAAGAGCAATACCAGTATGCAACTACTTTCTTGGTGTCTGCCCCTTCAGAAGGTCAGTGCAAGAATCTCGCCTCTGAAGATCTGGAACCTTAGGTTTGAGTGAAGACAACTCGAGAGTATCAGGGTCACAAGGGCAAAATGTTATGGATAAAACTTCATTTGAAACTGCAGAGCATAAAAACTGAAAAGGTTCCTTATCGAAGCATACCTTTGTGTCCTCCCTCTGCACTGTCTGGTTTTGTTGAGGAGGCAGAGCCCAGCAATGGAAAGGGCTTTAATGCGGTGCTGATGACCTGGCAAGGGTCTCTACCTAGGCTGGGATAGGGGCTTGAGGAAAGGTAAAAGAACTCAAGATTCTCAGTCAGTTCTGCTATATTTGCAGCATTTTTTTTCCTCCTCTTTTGCTGTTAGTCACTGTCAGTGGGAACAGCAGGGTTCTATTACAGCTGTGCTGTCCATGAAACCAACCTACATTTGGATGGAAAGATGGGTCTGATCTGCTGACTGAGCCAGTGTCTAGTAAAAATTTACTTCTCAGTTCTGCTAACATGGTCTCATGCTGCCCAGAAGCTTGGTTATTGATACCAAAAGCACGATTACTCTGGAAATATCCTTAGCCCTGATTTTGATAACTACTTTGCTAGTCCAGGCCTTGAGCCATCTAAAATTGTGATAGCTTTAGAACACATGATCTCTTCGCTGCCAGTTGGTTTGGACTGGGCGGTTGTTGAGTTTTGTTGGGTTTTGGTTGGTTTGTTTTTTCTTTGTTCTACATTTGAGGAGAAATTAAATAACTTTCTGAAAGAACTGTCGTATTACAGCTGCATATTTAGGTCGGGGTTCTGAGGTGCTTGTCTCTCCTTCGTGCCCACCCAGCCCTTTCCCTTTACCCAAAGGCTCTTTTCACAAGTCTAAATCCTGCTAAGTCTTTTATTTGGATGCTGCCATCTTCAAACTTTTTTGGACTGTATCAGTACTGCAGCTTGAATTGTGCTGTGGACCATTAAGCTGCTTTTCTTGCTTTTAATGAGCGTATAGCATACGAGGGCCTCCCACCTACAGATGCTCTGACTCACATGAGCTTTGCTCCTGTGGGGTGTGTGCTGCCTTGCAAACTCACTTGCTAGATCAGAGATGTGTTATTATGAAAGCATGACTAGAGGTTGGGTACTTTGCTGGTTTGGTTCCATTTTGAAGAAGCGGTAAGGTGCTCCTGAGATGAACAACAGCAAATGTTTCACTTCTGCTTTCGGAGTGGACTGTAGCGCTTGGGGAACATGGGTGAGCTAGGATCTGGTGCTGTATTGGAGATTCCTTTTGCTTCAGGTGAACTGAGATCATGGAATTTGTTTTGTTTTTTTTTTTAAATCAGCAGAATCGGTGGTTTTGGGGAGCAGGTTCTGCCCTCCCAGCGTGCATTAACCCTATCGTAGAGGCGTTTCCATCGTTTCGAAACGAGCCACGTTAAATGTGTGTCCCTGCGGGTGGCTGGCAGGCCAGCCTGCTGGGACAGAGCGTGGTGGTGGCTGCCATGCCATCCTTCTCCGCCCGAAGGAGTCAGATCTCGCCTCCTTTCCAGCCTCATCGCATACCTAACTGTCCTTGGATCTCGCTGATGATCTCTCAGAATTCTGGATCTCGCTGATGATCTCTCAGAATTCTGGATCTCGCTGATGATTTCAGAATTCTGGATCTCGCTGATGATCTCTCAGAATTCTGGATCTCGCTGATGATCTCTCAGAATTCTGGATCTCGCTGATGATCTCAGAATTCTGGATCTCGCTGATGATCTCTCAGAATTCTGGATCTCGCTGATGATCTCTCAGAATTCTGGATCTCGCTGCTGATCTCTCAGAATTCTGGATCTCGCTGATGATCTCTCAGAATTCTGGATCTCGCCGATGATCTCTCAGAATTCTGGATCTCGCTGATGATCTCAGAATTCTGGATCTCGCTGATGATCTCTCAGAATTCTGGATCTCGCTGATGATCTCTCAGAATTCTCATTCTATGTATATAAAAGCTAATTCCTTGTGTACTCATATGGATGCAGTTTTCTTCCTTGCGGTTTATGGAGTAAGAACTTATTAATGGATGACTAACCTCTCGGTGTTGGAGACTCCTCGGTACGGTTTTGACAAGTTATCTGATTCTCCCTGAGGTACTCTTTGATGTTTTTGCTCCTTGATCTCCGTCCGCAAACGGCTCTGATCTGACGCGCTGGCATTGGCGTTGCCCGTGTTGGGTGCTGCACAAGCACCCAGTGAGAGATGGCGTCTGTCCTGAAAAACCTCTTGGTTTGAATTAACGTGCAAAAAGTATCTGAAATAGCTGAGTCAAAGGTGCTTCAATACGGAGATGGGGGAAACGAGACAATGTGTAGTGTCACAAATGTGCTCATAGCTAAGTTTGACAGGTTACCTGACAGTTAATGTCTCTTTTAGTAAGAATCAGGGATTTAAAAAAAAAAAAAAAAAAAAGAAAAAAACAAAAAACCAGAAACAAACCAAAAGCCCTGTAACACCCTCTGCACTGCAGGAGTCTTCTTGTGCAGTGACTAATGCTTGCTCTGTGGCAATAAGACTATCCTGCTGTTTTCTTTTGAATAAAATGAACGAATTCATAGTAGCATAAAAGCCCCATCTCTGCTGTCAGTTTAATTTTGGCAAGACCCCTTCTGAGAGCATATTCCTTAGTCTCTTGTAACATCTTTCTGAGTGGGAGCCAAGCTGAAGTCTTACCTGCTCTGGAACAAACAAATCTGTTCCCTTTGAACTGGCTGACATCTAAGATGCAGCCACTGAGCTGTTGCAGTTTTTGTACAAATGGGCTTTGACTGTGGCTCGCTGCAGGACACGGCCCCGTGCTCTATCAGCCAGTCTCTTTCGTCGTCATCTTTGTCATAGTTTAATCCTCTGTGTGTTTGGAAAGGATGTCTCTGCTAACACGAAGCAGATACTGGTGGAATTTCTGCTCATCAATTTCTATTTTAGGTCCCTGTATAATCTGTTCCTCTGAGGGAAGCTCTGAGAATGCGGCAATGGAGCGGAGCTGGTGCCGTGGGATGAAAGGCGGCACGATGGTGCCCTGGTTGCTCTTCGTCTGGATGAGCCTGACTTCCCACCTCGCAGCCGTTCGGCTAAACAGTTCAGCATCCGGCTAAGAGAGGGAAATCGTTCCTGCAAGGAGTCTTCAAGAGTCTCTTCTAGCTCGGTTGCCAACAGTGGTGAAGAAAGTGGGTCACCTTGCGCTTCAGGGCTACAACAGGATCAAAGGAGTTTGTGAAACCTCGGGAGCTCGTGGGGGTAGGGCGGGTGTGGGCAGTCGAGCTCTCATGGTTACGCTAACTAAAATAAATAAATCTTTCCCCTCTCTTCAGGGAATATTTGGGTTTGGAGAGTGCCTGGCGCTGCTGAAACAAGGCTTCTTTGCTGGAAGCCCGTTAGCTGAAAAAGGCTGGGAGATGTTTTCTACCCAGGAGAGGTGGCCGTTGCCTTGTGCCGCTGCTCGCTGCGGCTCCTGTGGCTCCGCTCGCCGGCAGCGGCTCCCTTGGGCTGCACGGTGACTCTCTGCCTCTCTTCTGCTCCCAGCCCAGCCTTTCGCCTGGGTTAGTGGTGCCGACAGTACAACAGAATTCAGCCCTGCGAATGGTTTGTTTAAAGTGGGGAATTAAAAAAAAAAAAAAAAAAAAAAAAAAATTTAAGCTTGAGTGAACTGCAAGGCGAAAGTCAGCTGCGTCGCCCCGACCCCCCGGCTGTGGCGTGGGAGCTCGATCGTTCCCTCTGCAATTTGCTGCCCCGCTGGCAGCTTCCCCCGGTGCTTGGTGGGTTTTGGTGGCCCTGCCTGCCCGAGCTCGCCGGCGGCTGCC